TGCGACATTACTCGTTGAGACCATCGCTGGGGTGATCAATAGACACACGCGCACAGTTGTCATTCCTAGTACAAAGAAAATATTAAAGCCTTGGATCACCCCCGGCCTACTGCGCTGTATACGGCACCGGGACAAACTCTTCCTTAAAACTAAAAAAGACCCGGATAATAATGTTGCTAAAGTAACCTATAATCGATACAAGAACTTCTGTAATAACACCCTGAAAAGGGTAAAGAGGGAATATGAACGGGAAGAATTTAAGCGTCTCAGTAAAAATCCTAGGGGCACATGGGAACTCATAAAGAAGTTAGGGAATATAGGTAAAGAAAAAATGACAACTAACGAGCTTATAGGTACATGTAGCGATCCCCAATCCGCTCTAAATTCAATTAACGAATATTTTGCCAGTGTGGGAAAAAACCTTGCATCTAACATTTTTTCTTCAACAGATGTAGTCAACATTCATCCTGTCATCAGCCAATCCCCACCATTAAACTCAATGTCTCTCTTTGTCACTGATCATCATCATCATCATCATCATCAACAGCCTTTAATAGTCCACTGCTGGACATAAGCCTCTCCTTAGAAAGGAGGTTTTGGCCTACTACTTTGTCACTGACGATGCAGAAATTGATGGACTTATTATAGGCCTTAAAAGCACATCCGCCACTGGATGGGATGGTATACCTTCCTCTATAGTAAGGGGTGCGAGACACATACTTGTGCCTATTATTGTACATGTAATTAATCTCTGCATAACACAGGGTCTGTTTCCTGATGTTTTTAAGATTGGATTGGTGCATCCTATATACAAGGGCGGTGACAGGGGCAGTGTCTACAACTATAGACCTATCTCGGTTCTATCCACTTTTTCTAAAATTCTGGAGAAGGTACTTAACATTAGGCTTATAAAGTATTTAGGTGGTAACAACATACTGGCTCAAAATCAATTTGGTTTTCGTAGTGGAAAATCAACTGAAGATGCGGTTTTAGCTTTAACAGACTCCATTGTTCAAAATCTTAATAAAAAACTAAAATCTATTGCTATATTTCTGGATCTCTCCAAAGCTTTCGACACTGTCTCTGTTCCCATCTTACTCAGGAAGCTGGAATGCATGGGTATTAGAGGTATGGCCCACGACATCTTTAAAAGTTATTTCGAAAATCGGTTTCAGTGTGTTAGGATTGGTGATCTGGTTAGTGGGAGACAAAGGTTGCATTTTGGTGTTCCTCAGGGAAGTGTGCTAGGGCCAACACTTTTTCTTATTTATATAAATGATCTTTGCAAAATGGCCCTACCACACTGTAAGATCATAACTTACGCCGATGACACGGTTTTACTTGTAAATGGTACAGACTGGACGCACGCTAAATTAAATGCAGAGACAGCGTTATCTGCTGTAACCCATTGGCTTGCTCGTAACCTCTTAACGCTCAACGTTGAAAAGACTAAATTTATGACCTTTAAATCAAGCATAACAACCTTGCCCGATACTTCTTTTAATTTAATCTCTCATTCAAATACGTGTAATAACGCGTTCTCCAACTGTAACTGTTTCCAGATTACCGAGGTACCCATTATTAAGTACCTGGGGGTTTGGATTGATGATCGTCTATCCTGGAGGGAGCACATTAAGGTGACCTCTGCCAGAGTTAGAAAATGTATGTATATCTTTAAAAATCTACGGTCGCTTCTTGATCTTCAGATACTCAAAATAGTTTTTTTCGCTCTTGTACAATCCATAACAGGTTATTGTATAACCGCTTGGGGTTGTGCTGGTAAAGTTAAATTTCTGAGTCTAGAAAGAGCACATAGGGGTGTCTTAAAAGTGATGACTTTTAAGCCGATATGGTTTCCTACCTATCAGTTATACGGTGACTTACAAATTCTTACAGTCAGAAAGTTATTCTTGCTTAATGTTATTTTGAGGCAACATACTAACGTTCCCTTTGATGACAATTCAAACAAACGTAGAATTGATAGGGTGTGTTCAACAGAAAAATGTAGATTAAAACTGGCGAAACGGCATTTCTATTATTTCGCACCTTCTTTCTACAATAGGGTCAATAAAAACTTAAATATTTACCCTGACACGGCTATACGCTGTAAAAAACGTGTTAAAAAATGGCTGTTTGGCCTAACATACAATGAGACCGAATCATTTCTCATGTCATCGTGGTAAATGATAAAAATAGTAATAAAATATCAACTACATATACACTGTGGCGGTATAGATATCACAAAAAATGAAATAACAGATAACACGGTTCAATATACGTCGGTTAAAATAAAAAAATAAAAAATTAGTACGAAAATACAGAAATGCAAATTTAGAACAAACTAAATACAATAAAATAATTTCCGAATTAGAACACCATTGATAACATGAGTCGGTGAACTGTACCTACACGGCAGCGTCGCAATGTCGGCGACATCAAAACGACGCCGCCGCCGGCGCCCGCCGCCGCTGCCGCCGCCGCCTTTCTTTACATTCTTATTACCTACCTACCAATCACTTCACTTGCTTTTAAAAATCTATTTATAAAGAATGCGATTTTATTCACGTGTTTATTTCGCGAATGCTCGACTAGCTTCCGACCCAGCAGTACGCGTCACTCCTTGAAAAAGTAGTTACCTTGGTTGTCTCGTAATCTTTGTACCGCCCTTACAAAAATTCGGCAGTCTGTAGGACATACACGATTGACTCCATACGTGTCCGTAAAGCAAAAGATGCGTTTTGATAGAGTTTTCCATAAATTAACATCATAGCAGGATATTCCGCGGCTGTGAAGGTCACTCACGGCATTATGGATGTTGATATCGATAACCCAATAAAATTAAAAGACTGATAATGCACTCAGTTTCACACTACACTACACACAGAACCTAATAGTGACTTTTCAAAATAAAATTAGCAGGACTCCTTACATTACGAAGTCTTGCGCACACGATAACATTAATTGTTCACACCATTGCCGTGTATTATGACGAAAGCAATAAGACTAAACAATTATTACCACAAGAAAACTTCTCTAAACAAATATGTATCTCATAAACAACAACAATATTATTATTACGGTTATTTGTCGTGAGCGCATCTACAAGGATACGGAATAGCATAAGCTCGCCGGTGGCCAAGGGCCGACTGACTGTCCTTACTGGATGAACTAATTAAAAAACGCGTGTTGCATCGTGATGACGTAATAATCAACATATTTCGTTCGATTCGGGTGTAGTAAAAGCGGCAACGTGTGATTACCGCGCCGCGCGGCGTACAGCTGATCGCCGCCTGAGGTCAATGTATTATGACTGCATGTACACATGATGTTGCAATTTACGAAACACAAAAATGAGTCCTGTGGCTAAACTACTGGATATATTTTGTTCATATTTTGCAAATCGCCTAGAAATTAAGGGTAGAATATGTGGCTTAAGTAATTGTGAAAGGAAATGAAACTCTCTGTATAAGCTTGTCACACACACGTACGCACACACAAACACGCACACCCACACCTCCCCTCCACACACACAGCCCCCACCTCCCCTCTACACACACAGCCCCCTCCCCCCCCCCCTACACACACACACACTTACAGACAAAAACAAGAAATCTTGTTCTTATGTAATTGGCTTACAGTCTACCGCTTCACTGCATGATGAAGCAGTATATAGTATTTTGTATGTATATTACTTAAATCACAACTAGATCATTTAGCTATTGCTGGGACTAATGTCGACGTCTCCAGGATGTGGGCGTTAGTGACTGCGCCACAGTTTTGAACTACTGCAGTCACTATCGAATTCATTTTTTTGTAAATTCGTTTGTTATCAGTTCCAAAATAAAGATTTTTATTATTTTTTATTATTTTTATAATATTTGTTTATTATCTGTGTGTATGAATAATACTAGAAAAAAATTTTTAGCGTCTGTGTGTCATTAGATAGTTTTCGAAATTTTCACAAAGTGACAAAACATTTTAATTTGGAGGACATACATTCATCAAATAGAATAGGATTTACATTCATCAAATAGAAAACTTTTAAAAAAGAATGCCCTACCATTGTTGATGCTGCCAAGCTTAGCTAGTACTGATCCAGGAGTATCTCTAAAAGAAGATAAACAAACCCAAACTGCTCCGTTGGTAAGAAATGAAAATAGTACACAGACTGAAAATGCAACAAATGAAATCTTTGCTCAAACCTCAACGAGTCTCTCTAGCAACACTCTAAGAAAAAGAAAATTGAAACTTGAACTCCTCCAATGCAGAAAGAAAATAAAATAATTAAATCTACCAATCAAAAAACAACACGCATTTTTATTGAACACTTCCTATTCAATATACAAAGTATTTCATTTATTTATATAAAAAGGATATTTACAATCACAAATCTAAATAGAAACAGAAAGTAGGCAAATATAATTAAAATGCTGGAGTCGGGCAGCCCTAACGCATGTTTACGTACCGCGCGGCTGTAGGCATTTATTTCTATCATGCGGCCGAGTTACGCTACTGTATTATAATAGTACCGTGTCTAAGCTGAATAAAAAAAAACAATTGAAAGTTGAAAATCGAATGTTGCACATTTTTTAAAGATATAGAGGTATCATGTAAAAAGATTCACTCGAAAATCTCACACCATAAAGGTTTTATGTCAATTCAAATTATCTATTACTATACAACGGCAATTTCATACTTAAACCCCTATTATCAAGCCTTCAGTAATACAGAAATTAGTAAGTTATTAATAAACCAAAGTTATTTAAAAATACCCACTTATAACAGAAACAAACATTTCTATTAAGTTTAACTGAATATAACACTAGGCTAAAGTAAGCATAAATATACGACGAGTATTATTATACCTTTGTCTTACGGAAGGTGTGATATATGAAACACTTCATTACTATTGTTACAATTTGTGGTACATTTACATCAGGTGCATTTTGATTGTCATCCAGTTTTCACATCATTTCATCACTAACATATTTGACTTTCAGGACTAAGTTATTGACGAGGCACAAGGATAAAAAATGGTAAACACTGAACAGTTGAATTACATTCTGCTATGCAATACTTAGATTTCGCTAATGCTATTATGACCCTACTGGATTAATAGGGATTTATCTGTATATTTACAATAAGATATAGTTTATTATGTATACTTTTTAATACTGCTTAATTCTGGTCAAGTACTATACTATACTTGATTTAGTTAAGTGTCATGCAGTGTCCAGCTTGAATTATTGGGATTAATTGGTTTAAACAATGGATCTCTATATGATATCTATATAATTATGATAAAGTAAATAATCATATACAGTGTGGTAACATAACATGTATGTAACTCACCTCACCTACTAATCATAGTAATTCATACAGTTATTAGCTTTAAATAAAATGTAGTAGTATCACTGCTATTAGTATTTTACATTAGGTATGCATGATTGACTTCCATTAACAGAGGTGCATTGAAAACGTAAAATAAAATGTTATTGAAGCATGCAGAAATATGTTCATTAAAACAGATTTGAAATGCATGGTTACTTAGCTCCAACACAAGAGTAACAGTCAGCACAGTCAAAGGGTAATCTATTGTATTCAAATAATTTATTAACCCATCTTTAACTGTTGTAGGTGTTTTTCTTATGAGTCATCTCAGAGGACAACAATACCATCCTCACCTCCTCATTCGTCAGTTGATCTTAAAACATTTGACTGGGATGAAGCAGCAATTCTCTCTCAAAAATATGTTTGTATTCTTATTGTATTATTAGCATTGATTTACCATGAATGTACTCATAGCTTTACTACTAAGATTTATTTGGCTTTTATAGGTACACTATTGTCCAAATGTGTTGGATGATCCAGAGCTTATAGCTGGGAAACATAGAACTCTGCTGACATTTACGTCTTACATGACGTCAATTATTGATTATGTTCGTCCACAAGATCTCAAAAAGGAGCTTAACGATAAATTCCGAGAGAAATTTCCTCACATTAAACTAACACTCAGTAAATTGAGGAGGTAAGTTGAGAACAATTTAAAAAATGAAAAAACATTTCAATTCAAAATTTCATTTCAAAAATTGTTCTACATTTGCAGTGAAAAGGCTGAGAAGAACCCTAATTTTATAAAAGAGAATATTAATGTTATGCTTGTTTTTTTACAGTATTAAAAAAGAAATGCGAAAGATTGCAAAACATGATAATGGAGGAATTGATTTACTCTCAGTAGCACAAGCATATGTTTACTTTGAGAAACTGATACTTGCTAACCTCATTAACAAAGACAATAGAAAGTTGTGTGCAGGTGCATGTTTACTGTTGTCTGCTAAACTCAATGATGTTAAGGGAGATTCTTTGAAGGCACTTATAGAAGTAAGTTTGTAGAATAAGAATTTATACCTAGACATTTTTGAAATGGCTATACCACTATAGGTTAGCAAGAGCTAAGTTACTAAGTTTACTAAAATACAATTAGAAAATCAGAACTCTTAAGTGATGTTCCTCATTAAAAAATAAAATTAGCATACTACTCCTTCGCCCTTGTTAACCATTAAATAATCATGAACTGCTTATGTCCTCATCATTTATCGGTTTTGCTATCCAGTAAATCACGTCGTTAATTTATGTAAAACTGCAATAAGAGCCAAATATTATTAACTTAATCTCCTCATTCGATTTATTGAATGATAAAAACCTTTTTTTAATGATATTTAAAATTTGTTAAAAATAAATAAATACTAAACCAAAATAGAATTTATTTATACTATAAAAATATGTAACAAATAACATTAAATTCTGAAATCACCTAGCTTAGCTATACTTAAGTATATTATCTTCATTGTCACACGCAACTTCTCTTTTTGAGAGAAATAGATGAGGGATTTGTATTTTAGATCTACTTTTCTATCTTCACCCTTATTAACCCCTATATATGATTTAACTTCCATACCATCTTTTGTCATTTTTCTCATTTTCCCGGCACTCCTGATCACTCAGGTTTATTCTCATGGTGCTCCTCTCAATTCTTCTTTCACAAACCTTCAGCTTATTGACATCTTTGCTACCGTTATAATAAAGCCCTTTTCTTCCGAATTCGACAGCTTTGACAATACATATTTCCGAGTTCTATTTGTTATAATATGTCTCGTAATTCGGTGCGCCTCTTGACATAGGCCTCCTCCAGCTCTCTCCACTGAGCTCTAGTCCCTCTGCTCTATCCTCTGCTACTCTAGTCCAGTAAGGTCCCAAGGTTAGGCGGATATCGTCTTTCCATCTAGTTTTCGGACGTCCCTTTCTTTAACAGTCCTCTCTTGGGTACCATAAGGTGACTTTTTTGCTCCATTTCTTTATTTTGGAACGTAGCATATGTCCTGTCCAGCCCCATTTTAAATGATCTATGCCAGTTATTATATCTACAACTTTAGTTTTTATTCTTATTTCAGAATTTCTAATTTTATCACCAAGTCTGAGTCCCAACATGCCCATTTCCATTGCCCTTTGCGTACTAGCCAGATTTTCTCTTTGCTTGTCTGTTATCACCCATGATTCGCAGCCGTATGTCATGCACGGGAGGATGCAGGTGTTGTGTTTTGTTTGCATTCATTAACAATCCTACATCACTGCTTTTTTCCCGCTATGGTTTTTAGCATGTGTCCCAGTTTTTTAGGGTCTTCTTCTAACAGGACATATCATCGGCGAATCTCAGATGGTTAAGGCGGCTACCGGCTTGGGAGAGAGCGGATCTCCCTGTCTCACGCCTCTGTTTATAGGAAATGGGTCTCCGATTATTTCCAATTTAATGCGACTTTTGCATTTTTTGTAGATAGATTTATTTGTATATAGGCCTCATCCACTCTTTGTTCTTTTAGACTCAACCAGATAAATTTATGTTTTAGGCCGTCAAAAGCTTTGGAATTTTTGGTTTTTGGTGTTCATTATATTTTTCCAAGACTTGTTTGATTGTGTGGATGTGGTCTATTGTACTGAAGTTCTTCCTGAATCCTGCCTGTTCAATTGGTTAGTTTTCGTCTAAGACCCTTGTTATTCTTTCCAGAATTACTTTTGCAAAGACCTTATACACATTTAAGTGAGGCTTATTGGTCTATAATTGCTGATGTTATCCTTTTCTCCTTTCTTATGGAGAAGAATAGTATGTGATTCGTTCCATTGTTCTGGGATGGTATCGGTTATTAAAATATCATTAAAAAGTTTGGTTAAAATCGGACTTATTTCTTCCACAGTGACTCTCATCATCGATCATTTGTTATACTGTCAGGTCCTGGAGCTTTTTCTAGTTCTTGTGACATTATGGCTTTCTGGACTTCTTGCACTAGTATTGATGGGACATATTTATATCTTGTGACTGGACTCTTAGGAGTGTTACTTTCTTGTTCGGCGTTATTATAGGAGTAAAGAGTTTTGTCAAAGTCTGTAACCTGTATCTGGATTTCTCTGCAGTTTGTTACTTGTTTGGATATGTTGCTTTTTAATTTAGGTATCCATTCCTTACCATGCTGTCTTAATTCTGTAAACGCTTTTCTTGTTCCTCCTGTTTTTGGATTTCGACTTCTAGTTTTTTCGTTCTCTTCATTTTCCTATCGTTTCTTATATTTTCCCTAATCTGTTTACTCAGTGCGGATATTTTGTTACGGTTTTTCTCTCTTTTTGACTTGTCGGTTATTAATGCTTTTCTTTCCTCTAGGAGCTCTATTGTTCTCTCGCTGACCTTTGTATCATTAATTGTATTTGCCTTTGCTTTTTTTTAGTTGTGACAATTGTTTGTTCAAATGATCGTATTTTTCCGTGACACACCTGTCCGAGTTGACTACTTCTATCAATGTCTTGGTAAATGAAGGATCAATGTTTTTTTCATAGTGCTCTAGTGTCAACTGTCTATTATTTATTTTGCTTCTGCTTATTTGAGTTGGAAGCATTTTTAGACGGCGGCACACCATTCGGTGGTCCGTATTAAAATTTAAGTTCTGTATTACGTGTGTGTCATTGAAAAACTTGGGTTTCTTAGTTATTATGTAGTCAATTTCGTTTGTACATTTTCCGTCGGATGATAGCCATTTCCATTTAGTTTTAGGGTTTTTTTTAAATACCGAATTAAGTAGTGTTAGGTTGTTTTGTAGTAAAAGTTTAATCAATCTATGGCCGTGGGCACTCCTCTTACCATATCCATATTTGCTCAGTATTAGTTCCTCGCCGACTTCTCTACTGCCAACCTGTGCATTAAAATCACCCGTAACAATGAGGTAGTTATTGTGGTATTTTTCTATGGTGTCTGACAGAATGGAGTAAAAGCCGTCACTTTCGCTTATTAATGTTGAGTATTCGCTCATGTATGTAGTTTTTTAGTGTTTTTCTGATTAAGAACCCAACTCCTCTATGGCCTTTCTATAACAATTCTTCTTTCACAAACCTTCAGCTTATTGACATCTTATGAGAGTTAAAAAAAAATTTAATTGCAGCGCATAGAAACAACATTCAGAGTTAACAGAAAAGACTTGATGAGATTTGAATTTGCCGTGCTGGTAGCCTTGGAGTTTGGACTTCATGTGCCGCCCTATGAGGTGTTCCCTCATTATCAGCGATTACTCCATGAGTCGTGACCTTGGCGCAGACTGGCCTTGGAGCCATGTATCCGGGTCTGTCATCGCCGGCGTGCTACCATCGTAGACAACCTAAGGGCAGGTGCTTGGATGTAAATGGCCCTTTAACGTACTCACATACTCAAAAAGTCTAGGTGCTTGAGTGTTTTAATATATTCTTGTAAACTTAGCTTCATATTTTAGACATACAATACAATATTTGTAAATAGGCCTGTTGTGTAGATATTATAAGTCATGTACTTTGAACGGTCATAAATGCAGTCCAACCGTAATGTTCATATTCGTACTCCGATTCAATGTTTGTGATGTTATAACTTACACATGTGATACATTATAACCAGATAATATAGACGTATACGAAAGTGTGATGTTGGTCGGTCACATGCATGTGTGCACAACATTAGACAAAATTTAATCACTCCGTCCACATTTGAAACCAGTGATTTGAAAACAGTTTCCAAAACAGAATTATATCTCTTTTATCAAAGCCTGGTTTCCAATAAAGAAAACTAATTCTATTTTCGAAACTCAGAAGCCTGGATCATCTTCGAAACTCTTCCAACCTACAAGTCCTACAAACTCTTAATTAGAAATAGTTTGCTGTCGACTAACGAATTTCTTATATTTTTTTATGGAAGAGCGGGCAAACGAGCAGACGGATCACCTGATGAAAAGCGACTCAGGCAGAAAATATGTCACTTTGAATAAAAAAAATGTGATGTCACGCATTACAGTTTAAATTTCGACAAAAAGGTAAATTCGAGTTGATGAAATACATACGTTTGTTATTAGTTACAATACTAACGAACGTTGTGTAGGACACCCGCAGGCAGAGGCGGATTAAGTATCAAGAGCGCCCTAGACAAGCATCTTATATGCCGCCCATACTGTATTTTTAATAGCTACTCGTTGACGTTGCTAAATGTGTGATGGTGATGACTACAAATTTTAGTTGTCATTTCTTTACTAGAACTTTTATTTTTTTCGTTTGGAAACCCCCATGGGCTGTCACCATGCCGGGGTTCGCGGTGGGACGGTGTATCTTAATCAAACCGGCTAAAACCACACACTGCGCCTGAAATAGGCGGAATCCGATAACAGCTTTTATTTAGACTATGAGACTTTAAGAAGCCATGTAGCGTGTTACGGCTGGTAACGAGACTATTGACTAGAGAGACTAGTGTGTGCTGAGCCGAGTTCAAACTGCACTGCAGTGGTGACAAGCGCAACTCAATTCACTCCTAGCCTTCGATTGCTGGTAACTTCCTAAGCAGACGTGACCAGAAAAGACCTGCATCAGTTGGAAGGAAAGAGTCCCGTGCTGCCGCTCTGCCTCCACGGCGCCAAATGCAGTACGTGGAGCCTTCAGCCGGGACGATTAACAAGTCATCGTGGCTCGGTAAGCGGCCTTTAGCCACTTACTTTATTTCCGCCTTTAAATCTCATGGCAGAGATCTACATCCACCCTCTGAGGGTTAACACCTTTAAAGGCGCGCCCAGAATACTGGGCGATCATAGCTGCCGCTCACACCGTTGCACCGTATAGTGCCTTTGACTGGACAACCCTGGTCTGTTATTGCAACTTATAGAGTAATCTTAACTACAGCTGCAGTTGTAGCAACTGCATTTTTGTGTACACGCACTAGCCTCAATCGTCTTAAGTATCAGAAAATGAAAGCAAAGAAATAGTGGCAATTACGTAATATAAATCCTAGATGTCAACTTTAAACATCTCTATAGCATTAAGGAATTGTTTATATTGTTTAAGTATGTGTATACTTCTACTACTACTCACACAGTTCTTTTTATGTTAAGCATATATTTTTTATTTCTTAAAAAAAATCTGCGCGCGCCCCTTTGCGACCTCGCGCCCCCAGGCACGTGCCTATTTTGCCTTAGGGTTAATCCGCCACTGCCCACAGGCCAGGTGGAGTGACGATTTGCGCAAGATGGCTGGCAAGAGCTTGATACGAGAAGCCGAAAATCGATCGAAGTGGCGTGCAATAGGAAATGCATATGTCCAGTGTACTGCGATAGGATGATGATGACAATACTACACTCATTATAATCATATTCCATACATTTTCAAAAAGTTACTCAGGTTGCCTGAGCTTTAAACCGGCATCATTTGCATCAGCGTCCACCGCACCTCCTGACGGCCAGTTATGAATGACGTCGACATTAGTTACTATAATCATACGCATGGAACGTGTCTATGTGTGAGTGATGAACTTTAATAAAAGTAGGTTGTAAATCCAACTTGTTATAATACTATAACTTCGTAACAATAGGACTGGACTTATGACCGCGTCCGTACAGATCTTACTATACAATTTAAGTGACTCGGCACTGAGAGTAGATTAAAAGCTAATGTCGTTTCACTGCTGAAATTATAGTGGACTAGACAAAATGTGATTAGTGTAAAACACAACATCTAGGATAGTAGTTAGATTTTAGGATATTTAAGTTTTATTTGTATGTATTAAAATTGTTATTAATTAATAGGGAATGACAGTCATTATTTATTGTTTTATCTTATGAAGAATTTTTAAAAACAACGTAGTTGTCAACGGCCCATTAAATTGTTCGTAGGATTATTAGAGTTACTGAATCATTGTTCCTATGACGACACTTAAGTAGGTATGTTTTCGTTTTTTGTTTCCGAACGATATCAACACCTTGATCTAAAAAGATTACCAGAGTAGTCAGATTGAAATATTTCTATGTTAACAAATTAAACAACTAGCTTTTAAATTTAAAAAAAGTGTGAGTGAATGATTTCAGTAAATGTACATATTGAAAGCAACGTTTGCAACGCAAATGTGAATGCTATTATACGTAGTAGTTTTAGTATGCCTGTAAATAAAATCGAGCAAGTTTGAAAACTACATGTATCCTTGGACATTGACTTTTTCCACCACAAGTAAATACTTTTAATATAACGTCTTAAATTCGACTTAAGCCTTAAATCCACAGTCAATGTCATAATTTTTTTATTTTATAATAGAGCTCAATATGGACAAATCAAGTTATATAAGTATCATGGATTCTAATGAAAATTGTTTCCTAATAGCTTCTAACATCGTTTTTTTTTTATGAATACCTTTCCTATATAAAGCTATTGTATTTAATTGATTGAAAACCAAATCTTGTATCTGTGATATAAAATAATACAATATATCTTTGTAAATAAATGTGTAGAATTGTAAGCTTATTCTACTGGCAACAATTTAGTAGTTAGTATAGAGTAAAATGGCATTAATAGGGTACAGACGCGGGTTACTTGCAATAGTAGTATGCACGAGTTACTTGCACGTAACTTGTACGTGCTGCTCGCGCGGGTTACATGTATGGGTCTTGCTAGTTTCATATTTTAAACAGTTCAGTACCAGGGCCTCAATTCTGCTATTTAAATATTGTAGCAATAGACTGTCGATAGAATGTCATCGGAATAGTTTTGCACTTTTCTTATTTTACTAACTATGTAAGACCAAAGGCCTCAATCAATGGAAGATGACTTGTCACCAATACAAATGTCGTCGCTGTCTTTGTAATAGCTTGGTAAACGGTACATTTTAAATTTGTAAGAAAATAATATATTTAATTTTCATGATATGGCAATGTTGTTGATATCACCATTGATGACCTATATTACTATATCGATATTACTAGTCTATTGACACTGTGAATTTATGTTAGTAGAATACCGATATTTTAAACGATGTCAGTGGCATCTCAATAGCGTGTCAATGGAATGACAGTGGCTTGGCGTTAACATAAAATAGCAGAATTGAGACCCAGAGAGTTTGTACACTGTGTAGGAGTTAATGCGATTGCGATTTTCTCTCCCCCGGCCATTGGCAAGGAGAGGAACACCGGGATGGTCTTTAGTCGATAAGAGTCCGACAGAGCCCCCCCTCCCCGCAATGGGCGAAGGACATCAATGACGATCTTCCACCGCGTAAACAAAAAAGTTATCGCTTGTTCTGGGAATGGTTTCACTTCGGTTTTGTAACAAGTGGCATTCGAGGCGAGCAAGCTGTTAAGGAGGAACCTCTTGTAACTGTTCTGTGTGAGCAGGCAATCCCGACGCCTTAGCTAATAGAGTAACGTCAATTTTAAGTTTCATGCTCGCAGTATAGCGATATTATTAGAAAAGTTACCCTTTTTTTTACGTGTGGAAACCCTCATGAGCCGGAATCGGACCGACTAAAACCGTGCGGTGTGCCACTCTGCGTCTGTAATAGGAGGAATCCGGGAACTGCTGTTAAATCATCCGGACCCCTCCTAGCGTCTGCGTGCAACGGCGCGGGCACCATCTTCGGGTATATCATCTATTTAGGCTGGCCTTTATAACGGGTGGACGGGAAAACTCGTCCTGTCTACCCGCAGCCACACTCAAGCTGGCATGAGGCGCTGGCCGCCCGGTTCGTCGGCGGTGAATTGGGTCCGAGTGGAGATTATGCTCCTGGGCCCTCTGCCGCCTCTTTTCTTTGCAGAAGGATGCGACCGCGGTAAAACAACTATCACTACCGGCCATGGAGCGTATGACGGCCGGTAGTGAGAGATCTCCCCCGGTGACTGCAGTGAGGACCCGATGCTGCGGCGCCCAAGCGGGGAAATTGCCAGCGTGTGCTGAACCGAGTCCTCACTGCAATCGCAGTCTTGACAGGCGGGACTCAGTTCCCTCCTAGCGACCGAGTATAGGTACTTCCCGAAGGACCTGTGTCAGTTGGAAGGAATGGGTCCCGTACTGCCGCCCTGCCCACTCTTTGATGACCGGCTGGAGCTCCTCCACGGCGGCAAAACCAGCACGTGGAGCCCCCAGCCATGATGACCAACACGCCATCGTGGCTCGACGAACGGCTTTGCACCACTTGCGACTGCTGCTAACTGCCCGCAACTCAGTCGTCCGCCGATATACTTTGGCGAGCACTTCAGCCTCCAAAACCCACCTGGGAGTCCCGGCCAACGCGCACGCCGCCTTATCGGTACGGTGC